TTGCATAAAATATATCCTATGAAGTAAGACAGGTCTCATAAAATTAGACCTGAATGAAACAGATAAATTTGTAGTAGTGAATTGATACATCCCGATCCATGCTCTTTAATTTCTCATTCATACATTTATCTCAAATTCTTCTCAAATCATATCTAAGGAAGAAATACAGATTGATGTTATTATAAATATTGCTGCTGGTAAAAGCTCTTTTTTTATTTATAGTACCTGTTGAAATCTAAATAAAGAATTAAATTATTCTAAAGTGCGTTTAAATCTCTCGTCTTATTGATGATTTAGAAAGTAAACTAAATATTTTCTAATGATGAATTTTCAAATATCTGGAAAAGGGTTATCCATTGCAACTGTGATTCCACTATATTGTGGAGTTTCAATTACGATGGCTGCTGTTATTTGTCCTGAATCACTTGTCCTAGATCACTTAATTGTCCTAAATGCTGGAAATCACAAATCCCTTAATGACTTTGCATAAAATATATCCTATGAAGTAAGACAGGTCTCATAAAAATAGACCTGAATAAAACAGATACATTTGTAGTAGTGAATTGATACATCCCGATCCATGCTCTTTAATTTCTCATTCACACATTTATCTCAAATTCTTCTAATTCCTAATATTAACACATTTAGCCGTTTAGCATCACTTCCTTATGTTTACCCTGGAATAAAGCGTTTTCCATACCTAACCGGCTTTTCGAGGAGTGTGTACCTTCTTTACAGAGAAAATAGAAAAGAACCGATATTGACACTCCCTTGAAGTTGGAAGATGTATTCGATGATGTATTAATCTGTGATTTGTATCTCAAATCATATCTAAGGAATAAATACAGATTGGTGTTATTATAAATAGAGCTGCTGATAAAAGCTCTTTTCTTATTTATAGTTACAGTGCCTGTTGAAATCTAAATAAAGAATTAAATTATTCGAAAGTGCGTTTAAATCTCTAGTCTCATTGTTAAGCGTGTAATGATGATTTAGAAAGTAAACTAAATATTTTCTAAAGATGACTTTTCAAATATCTGGAAAAGGACTATCAGGCTCAATCAAGATAAAGACGTGATGTCTCACGGTAACACTTACTAACTCGCATAGAAATGAACAGCAGGGTAATGTAATGTATAAGAATTTTAGAGTCATTAGGTTATTTTGAAACGAAAGACGGGGAAAAGGAAAAGGAGCAATGCATTCGCAGGAACTCGAACCTGGACCTCTCGAATACGCGCGGAATGGGCTACCGTTACACCACGAAGGTATGCAGAAAAAGGAGGAGAAAATACCTTATACGCTGCTCATTTTAAAGTTACACTGGGGATTAGGGGACCAAATTGCCAAATCCTGGTGGTGAAGAATCATCATCCACCCTTTTTTTAAGCGGAAGACTGGCAAAAATGCCCAGTTCCCTCACTGGGACTCGAACCTGGACCTCTCGAATACGTGCCGAGTGTGCTCCGTTACCTCACGAAGGCATGAAGAAAGGAGGAAGGAAATATTCTGCAGTGTCGCATTTGCAGTTGAATTTCTCAAAAAATTCGATTTTGATAAATTTTTCATGCGTGGAGCCATTTTGAAATTTAGCAACTAATTAAAATTCCGTAACTTTGTAGTTAAACATTACGGGTTCCGGTTTAAAATTAAGTTGAAAAATACTGGTAATGCAAGAACATAAAGAAATGCTACTTTCCTTACAATAAAATATTTCTCTTGGGAAAGAATAATACGCAAAGTAGAACTGGAAGTAGCAAAACACAGTGTTGAATGAAATAGATTTTATTTGAAGCTATTGCAATCCAGGAAAGCGATAGCGTTGAATCATAAAAAGCTCCCGTACTAAAATAAAATCTGCGCCAATCATCGGTGTGTCTTTTTACATTCATTTTCCATTTAGTTAATTTTTTAATACATTATTCCTTTGTGAATATTACAGAAGTAGGCAGTCATGGGGGCTGCTGTTTAAAGGAGGCAATATAAAAGAGTTAATTATTCTTTCTGTAACTGTGTTTTAGTATCAGTAACTGTTTCGCATTTGATAGTACTCTCTCCATGTAAAGAAACTAGATGGTAGCATAAAAATTTAAGTATAAAATGAAACTATTCCAAATACGCATTCTGTTTCAGTTTGATAATACTAATAAATTGGTACTTTTCCTTTATGCATCTGCTACGATTTTCGGCCACTATGAAAGGGAAGCCAAACACACGCCGAGACACAATAATCGTAACTAGAAATAAATATATATTTTTCATTCATTCATATTCATTAATATTAAAGAATAATTTTAATGATTTATAAATCTACTTCTGTACTTTGCAAGTTTTTCCTTTTTACTTCCTTGTACGAAATAAAGGAAGTATTGTAATCACGAAAACTTCCGGGTACCGTATTTAAACAAAAATATCCATTTTTGACTGCTATTGAATGCAATTTAACGATGTTTTTGCCTAACATCTCTACGTAGGAACAAAATAAAAGACTCTTTTCCCCAAACTAATTATAGAACTGATTTTAAATGGATTCAGAAGAGATTTCTTCGTGGCATCGGTACGTACGTATGTATGTATCACGCATAACTCAAAACAGAATAGCCTCATAACGTCGAAATTTTGTATGTGGGACTGCTAGAGCATATAGATGTGCACCTCCCTTTTTGGTTGCAATCGGCAGCGTCAAAAAATATATATGTATAGATATATCCACTGTGTTACTGGGCTCAGTAAGCTCAGTTTCTTTATTCTTATATGTTTGTAAATTGTGCACTTTTTGTTTTAAAAATGATTGAATTATGCTGTTCTTATCTTTCTTATCTTCCGAAATTTTGTGCAGGTATGCTTAGAAATACATCTACTTTAAGACGATGGTAAAACTTTTATAGATTATAATTCAATTTTTTTTTTAATTTATAAAAGTTATTTTAAAATGCAAACATAAAAAAATGGACGAATTTTATTTGGAATGAACATAAATTTCGAAATGTGAAAGGAGGAATCCAATAAGTTTAATAGAAAAGAGATGTTAATAAATGTATATCAAATTTAATTAACATGGAGGAGCTGAAGTTTTGAGAGCTAATTTTTTAAAAGCTTTCACAAAACTTGGCCCTTTCGCATAATTTGAGTCGTAGAATCGATATATTGAAAATAACTGTTATGTTATTTCACAAAAGTCCTTTTTGTGTCAAAATACCTATATTAGAACAATGCTATGTGTAAATTTAATATATATCCTGCTGCGCTTTCGAGACACGGAAAACGTTTGTTAACTTTCAAAAATCGGTCCAGCAAAAAGGGAGATATAGAGCTGTCCAATTTTTTTGGTCCAAGGCATACATGTTTTTAAAAATGGGTCGAAGCATTTGAGTTGTATTCAATAAAAATAAATGGGCAAAATTGAAACAGATTTCCTGAACCAGACTAAATTAAAATCATGTGAAAAAAAAATAAAGCGAGAATATTTTGTATTATTTTTTGGATAAAAGTATTATTCTTTGGATAATTTAATGTACTGTCATCTACTGGCGATTTGTCACACAAATTATTCATTATTCTAAAGGAAAACGTACTTCTAATTATATAAAAATTTCAAAACGATCTAATTTTTGCTTCGAAATCAGGTAAAATAAATGATTTTATAGGAAGTTATTTTGTTTTCTGCATTGTTTAAAACATCAAAACAACATAAAAAAGGAAAGTTTGCAAACAAAAGTGGATTTAGAAATTATTAAAACTATTCTTTAATGCTAATAAATATGAATGAATGAAAAATATTGCCAAAATGTATTACCTTTTTGTTATGCACCTACCACGTTATTTGGCGACTGTGAAAGAGAAGTCAAATACCGTGTTTTTGATTGTAAACAATTTCTAGTTATAAGAATAGTTTAATAAATGGCAGTATATTTATTTCTAGTTACTATTATTGTGGCTCGGCGTGTGTTTGACTTCCCTTTCGCAGGTACCGAAAGCGTGGCCAGTGCATAATGGAAAAGTACCAATTCATTAGTATTGTTAATTTTATTAGTTTTTTTTTTGTTTTTTTTTTTTTTTTTTTTTTTTTTTTTGCAAGGTGTACCTGATTTGACCTCTTAAAAATATTCCTGTATAGAAAGCATTTAAAAAATATACATTTGCAAAACATTTAGTTGATATTTTTTTAATATTTTTGACTGTGAAAATATTTACTTTGGACAGCGAAATTACAAATTAAAAATTACACTATCGAAGTTACACAATAATTTTTTTTACAAAGTCAACAAATGATTTTTTTTTCTGTTCTTTTTAAAAAAGTTTCTCCAATCTGTTGGTTTAAATGCTCATATAAAACTAAATTAAAATTTTTGATGAAAGTACCGGGTGATAGAAATATTTTAATTAATAGTTATTGATTATATATCAATAAAAATATCGTGCAAAAATATATTTTATTCGAAATGGAATGACGAAATACTGTAAGAAAACAGCAGCAAATTAAAAATCTGAGTAATGAGCAAGCGAAAAGTATATTTTTTACAGAATTTTTCTATTTTTGAACACGTTATGATTTTCTTTATTAACTTTATGTAGGCTCATACAACTTTCTAAATTTATAAGATATATATATATTCAAACTTTTAAGAAAAAAATTAAAATTTAGTTAAAGATATTGATGTTATTTGTTTTAAAACAAATGTTTTTAAAAATAAATTAGATAACAATTTTGATAGTATTGATTTAAAATCAATTGGCTGTCCTTCCATACACACAGTAACCACTTTTTTTTCAAAGAAGGACATAACGGGGTATTGAACATATATACTCATTACGATAAACGAAATATTTAATTGATTATTATCATGCTTAATTTATTATCGTGCGCCCTGGCAATTCTGAAACATCATTGTAGTATTAACGATTCGATGAAATACAAAATTGCTGATTCCTTTCCTCCGTGAAAGAAAATATTTAACTAAAAATAATAGTTTAAAAATAGCTAAAAGGTAGTAGCTCACCGGGAAAGAATGGAGTTTAGATCTCAAAAAGGAAGCTGGCACCATTCGTTCAAAAGGAATGAAATAAATGAAAAGGAAAGAAGAACTTTTTCTTTGCTTGGAATCTTCGAGTCAGACGAAGGTGCAGCGAATGAAATATACACCCCAGAGACTGCTGTATAAACATCAAGCATATCTCGAACTGAAACTAAATCAGATTAATCTTCACAAATCAGCACTCAGATCGTTTTTGTGTTCGGGCTGAAAAATATAAATTGCTGCAAAAATCTTAGGACATTTTTAATCAATGTGGTCTTCGAATTCCATTCGTTGTTTCATAATTTTTAAATTAATACTGAATTATTAATTTTTAAATTATTAATTTTTAAATTAAATATGTAAACTGTTTTTAATATCTCAAAAAACTGTTCTAGAAGTTTAATTTAATTATATGGAATAATAAACATTGTTAATCTCTGCTTAACTTAAATGTGTGGTATGTATGTATATACACTGGTCATCAAAATTAAAGGAAAATGACAGAAATAAAACGTAACTGAACACCCTTCAATGAAGAATTATTAATAGAAATTTGTACAAAAGCATTAGTTAACATAAATTACAATGTTTTGCAGTTGATTATTTACAAAATATTGAAATTAAAACCAGATTTATGGAAATTTAAAAATTATGGAAAGATAAGTCCGCTCTTGTGGAACATTTTTTTCTTTCAAATGGTGTATAGTCATCTCTGATGGTAGATATGCATACCTCACATCCTGATTTCACAGACTTTACCAAAGTGTTGATGAAATCCTGTGGAATTGCACACCACTTTTCTAAAAGTTCACTTTTCAGCTCCTGGAGGGTCCAGGGAGGAATTTGGCTCGCTGAAATTCGGGCCGTAAGGCATCTCACTCCTGCTCAAGCAATTTTTAAGTCGGGTGTGCAAGGTGGCCAATCCATTGGAGTGGCATCTTCTATTTGTAAGCATTCTGACACCACATATGGTCGATGAAGCTGAGCATTGTCATCCATTAGCATAACGTCTGGGCCTACAGCACCCCTAAACTATGTAACGTGGAGTTCCAATACCTCGTCCCAATATCTTCGAGCGGTTACAGAGCCTCCTTAAAAGATATGCGGCTCGGTGCGACCATTTGTCATGATTGCTCCCCAAACCATTAAACCCAGGTTTCGGAAACGGGATATTTTACGGGACAAGGGAAGGCAAGCTGCATTTTCCTTCCTCTTTCCAGATCATCACTATTCAGTCTATATATGGACTCTTCAGTAAATAATATTTAGCCCCAGTTGTCTTTGGTTCCATTGCACATGACGACGGCATCAGTTTAAACAGATCCTTCCGGCAGGTGGAGTGAGTGGGACACAAACCATTGTTTTTTCTCATACAGTCTAGCTTCGTTAAGCCTTAGTGAGCAATAGAATAGCTAATTTGAGTTCCTGGCCACAGGAACAAAGATCTAAAAACGAAGGCCTAAAACCATATCTGTTATGGTCGCTCTGCGGTTTCTTTGAGCCGACAATGATACAAAACGGTCTTCTGATGTAGTTTTGATTTTTATCGCCCTTGACCAGGCTGTGTATCAACTGAACCAGAGCTTAAGAAGCGGCTCCAAATTCTTGATATGACACTTCATATGACACTTCAATGCATGCGGTATTCAGGCAAGCTGAAACGACCTGCGTTTGTGTTTGACTTATGTTCGATTCTACTAGTTATCTGCTATTTTTGACCTTCACTTAAATAATGTGCTTTTGAGCCATAATTATTGAATACTGATCATTCTCTGAAACCACATTCACTTTATAACACTACAGACCAGGATTCCAACATGCATCAATTGCGCACTACATTGTCAATCATCGAATTTGCACATTTCTAGCGCTAACGTATACGCAAAAGTGCAATTTTGTGTTCAATTGTGTTTAATTAACATAAATAAGTACAGCATTGAGTCTTGGTTGCAATATTAGCTGAGATTCTTATTACCTTTTAATTTTGATGACCAATGTATGTTCTTTGCGCTGTGGAAAATTTGTGAGCACATATATTCCTCCATATGACATGCGCACACCGAAGCCTCAATTTTTAATTTATATATTTTTTATTTATTTAGTATTTTGCGAGAAATTAATGCTACTTTTATTAACAAATTCAGTGATAAAAAGCATTGCGTTGCAGCTTGCGAAAGCATACGATATTTGCCTTTTTAGTTTAATCAATAAACTCAGCGATTTAAAACAAATGTGATGCTACTGCAGGAAATAAAATATTTTTATCTCCGATTTACTCGCGAGTTTCCATGCCGCAAAGCGTAAGATATTTATTTATTTTTTAAATTTAATATGACTGTTATTTGTTATTGTTTGACAGACTAAGTTATTTGAAAGTAATAAATGCTGGTGTATACAATAATAATAGTTGGTATATACTAATTATACTGTGTGTGCTTATTCTTTTACCGTAATAAAACGTACACTGTATTATTAATTATACACCAGCTATATCCGTGACATTACACTAGTTGGGTGATATAAGTTTTTGCCTTTATACATTTTTCTTTTTTAAAATACCTATTTTAGGCGGCTGACCGCGCAAGCGGGTCGTAAAAATAAATGTGAACAACCGTTAATTTTTAGTTTCTTTAGAATTACTAGATATCGCTAAAAGAAATTCTCAAATTCTTATGAATATTTATTATTCTGTTATTATAAGCTTCTGTAGTTCATTCACGATGTTTGGCAGGGGGTGGAACGTTTTCACCAACCTATTTCCTTCTAAGCTACCTAGTTAACATTTTGTACACACACTGTTTGTTTATAACAAAGCAGTGCGGTACAGCGAGTTTTATAAACTTTTGTTTAGAATAATTTTTTATTTAACGGTTAAACGAAATTTTTGCACATATTTTGCTTTAACAAGCTTAGTATATCAGAATTTAGATGTTTACACCATCGAATACAGCGGGAATCTTTTCAACGAAACTTATATGAAAACTGTTAACATAACTTCTGAATTTTTGTTAAAATTTTGAATATCACTCGGTTTTTTAGATTATTCGACGTTTATAATTTTAAAATTTCAACATCTAAAAGTGTATATAAAGTTTTGAAATTTTCACAGATGATACGACTAACTTCTCGCCTTCTTTTAAAATAAGAATTATAAAATAGTATTGATTGAGCGATTTTCTACGCGTTTTTAAAAGATGCGTTACGGTTTCAAGTAGACGAAATTAAAAAATTAAAAAGTTTGCCATCTTGGCACACTTAATGACAAATCGGCGATATTCATTTTACCTTTATTTAATGTACTTTTTTATAACACTGTTGTTGATCCCATTTCTGGAACTGAATGTTGATTTTTGTTGGTTTATATGATTACGGCAAAGTTTCGAAGGCTATCTGCCTAAGGAGAGGAATGCCTTCGAGGAAGACTTTCTAAGGGAAACCGGCTCGTACACACGTTACACATGGAGAAAGCCACGAAAACGTCCATGCAGCCAGCGCGACCAGTGTTCAGCGACTTCAGCGCTTGGCCGCTAGTGGATCGCGGAGCTAAATATTCAAAGAGATTTCTGCATTCTCTGAATGTTGTTCAGCTATTTTTCTTTTTTTTTTCACAATTTCTCATATAATTTATTACTTGTTTTTTTTTTTTTTTTTTTAAATGACTAAAATAATTTCATCATTGATAACATGTAAATAATTTCATCATTGACTAAAAATAGAAAATAAAATTCAACTGTAAAGAAGGTTTTCTTATATAACAAGCTTTTATTTCAAAGGGATATGATAGTTACTGTATTAAAAGGAGAACAATATCATGTAATTTAATGGGATTAATGGATTAAATAATTATGTTTAGAGAATTCATCTTTTTTATATCGCGAAAAACAAAAAACGTAGAGCACCTAAACAACAAAATATATTAATTTAATTGCATTTTCAAATGTATAAGCCGTTATGTTTTTAAATTTATTCTGGGAAACCAGCATTTTAAAAACTGTAGTTAAATTCTATAAATAGAATTATGTAATCTATTTTTCCTATTGATCTACATGATTAAATACTTTTCTCCTTTTAATGCATTAATTGTGATATCTCTTATAAATAAAAGCTTACTGTATAAAAACTTTCTTTTTAATTTAATTTTATTTACAATGCGTTCATTTTGATTGAATACTTATTTAAAGTAGGCAATCAAATTAACGTATCCTTTAGATCAATGGTCTCAGACTCTCTAAATCAGTGATCGCATGCGGGCCGCACTCACGAAATGAGAGTAGATGGGAACGGCAGATTTTTTAAAATAAAATTTTAAACTAAATTTCAAATAACTAACTAAATTTTAATTTAATTTCAATTTTCTTACTAAATATTTATCAACTCATATGTAAGCTGCAACAGCAGTAATAATAATAATAACGCAAGGGAGAAATCTCAAGTTTATTTTGCTAATTTTCTAATTGTAATAAAATTCTGTTGGTTACTTTTCGTAAACCAAATTTACTAGCAGTTAGGTATGAAACTTTTGGATTCACATTTATTTCAAATAATTCTAATATGTTGAATTAACGACTAAATAACTTAATTTTAACATAAACTTAAAACAAATTATGAAAAAATAAAATATTTTCAGAGAAACTTCCCCAGTGGAAAGAAGCTTGAGAATAAATAACGAAAATCTAGTTTCCTTTTAAACTTACTTTAAGTTTTTTATCGACACATGCAGAAAAATAGAAATGATTGTATTTAAATATAATAATTTATTTTTTAAATGGCGAGTCAAAGTTGTCCACAGAAGTTGACTTCTACTAAGTAGCCGAACGTTTTGGTCACTTTATTATGGAAGCACTACTAGGTGGGCCACCCGTGCCATTAATGAGGCGACATACGAATACATTCATGCCTTCTCCGGTCTTCTAAACCGAGTCCTTCGGTAGGCAGTCAGAGTCAGTAACCATTTGCCCCTTGGGCGGCATGTAAATAATAATACATTTCTCTATATTTTATACAGATTGAAGCTTGATGGCGTTTTGAGTTTCATAACGTTTGTAGCCTTGGAAAAAAGTAACTGGAGACTACTATCTTCATCACTGTTTACAGATG